AGGAGGTTTTTAACGATACGACGAAGGGAATATTCCAAGTCTAAGTACGTGAAGGCAAGGCCCTGATTTCTATTTCATTGCTAGACCTCTCACTTTTCTCCAGATCAACCAATGAGGGGACTAGGTAGACCGGGACTGGGACTGGAACGGCAGTCAACACCCAAAGTCTGTAAATTTCTCCAAGTATGTAACAGATGCAACAATGACAAGGCAATAAACTTTACATTTACCAGCACATTTCTCTCAAAGTTAGATTATGTTCGACCTCTCTCGAACTTACACCTACCGGCCCTTGGCCATAACTAAAGTTAGGTTATATTCGACCTCGCTAGAACTAACACCTACCGGCCCTCGGGCATAACTAAACTCAGTTTATGTTCGACTTTGCTTGAGCTAACACCTACCAGCCCTCGGCCATAATTAAAGTTAGGTTATGTTCGACCTCGCTCGAACTAACACCTACAGGCTCTCGGCCATAATTAAAGTTAGGTTATGTTCGACCTCGCTCGAACTAACACCTACAGGCCATCGGCCATAATTAAAGTTAGGTTATGTTCGACCTCGCTCGAACTAACACCTACCGGCCCTCGACCACAATTAAATTTAGGTTACGTTCGACCTCGCTCGAACTACCACCTACCGGCCCTCGGCTATAACTAAACTCAAGATGCATTCGACCTCGCTCGAACTAACATCTACCGACCCTCGGCCATGACTAAGTTCAGATATATTTGACCTTGCTCGAACAAGAAACACAAGCAAAAAACATGCAGGTATAGAAAAACTAATCACAGAAAAGGAAACAGATTCAGAAAATAATATGGCCATTCCGTTTCATACTTAAATATTTTTTACAAAGGCTTGTGAAGACGCGTACAAAAATACACAAGCTTACAACAAAATAAATAAAGAAGGAGAAAAACTATTGGTCACCACCATCGGGACCTTCAGCACCATCGCCCTGACCACCTGAGCCATCTCGACCTTCCTATTCATCATCACCATCGCCCTCACTGTATGCAGCATCATATCGGGCGTTCTTTTCAAGCTGGTTCAGGCCCCGACCCCTTATCGTCACCATCCTCAGGCGTGGCAGGATCATATCCACAAGCGACCCGAGCATAGCGGGCCTTAACAGAAACATCATTAAGGGCGGCCGCAGAAATAGACCCCACCTTATACAAATCTTGAAACACATCAAACTGAGCTTCAGCATGAACCCATTCCTCGTACAAGTCCCCGGGAACGTTTGGGAAATTTGAAGTGCGAGAGGAAGATGGTTGCGCAAGTAGTTGAGCCTTTTCAGCCTCTAAGGCGGCCACCTGGCCCTGGATGAGGGAGTTGTCTTTTTCTAGCTCTCTGATCCTCTTATCTAATATATCTTCTTTTGCCTTCACCATGGATTGGTCAATCTATCGCTCGGCCCGGAGTGTCCTATTTTCCAACTCTAACATCTCTGATTTTCTTTGAGCCCCCAAACGGGAAGACTCCGCCTTCTCAAGCTCGCTCTGTTTCTCTGCAACTTCGCCATGAAGGACCTCCATCTGTAGGTGGCACTCTTCCAATTGCCTGTGCAGCTCGATCACTTTCGTCTGGAGGTCGCCACATTGGGTTTCTACGGCTCTCCTGACTTCGAGCTCCTCCTCCTTACTTCTCAACGTCCCCTCAAGGACACTGCACTTCTCGATGACTCTCACCAGCTCGTCATCTTTCTCCTTCAATTTATCACGAAGGGCCTGCAAATTGCCGACCTCACCACACCGCCTGTGAAACTCCCGGTACTTGTCGTGGTACTCAAACTATTTGTGTTGCAACCTCGTAAATATATTGCCTTACGCTTCTGCTAACAACGGCAAAGTACTAAACAAAAAACAACATAGCAGACAGAAAAATGGAGCCCTAAAATACTCACCTTGAGAGCAAGGCCGGCTATGCTCCTCGACAAGGTAACATCATCCATCTCTTTGATAGTTTCGCCCTCCACGTCGGAGCAAAGAGGGCCGAGGGTAGGAACTACGTTCTCCGCATTCTTCAATAGATCACGATCCATGGGGATCACAATGGTCCGCGTAGATCCCTCCAACCTTAACTCAAGCTGGGTAAACCCTTCCTCCATCATACTCATTTTTGCAGCATCAATATCTGAACCCGTCTCGTAGCCGTCTTCGGCAACGCCTTTGCCTCTCCCATTGGTCGGCAAAGAAGTATCATCAGCCGGCTGCAAAGTCGATGGACCCTCTTGCCGTGAAGTGTTAGAAGCCCTAGTAGCCGGCCCTTCGACATCCGTCATCGCATAAGGGAGAGATACGCCCTCGTCGGCCTCCGTCAACCTCGGAAACTCATACAATGGCCCGACATCGTCTTTGATGACAATAGTCGTCGTCTCATGAAGTATGAAGTCATCTATCACTGAGTCGACATCCTAGGCAACCCCGTCTCCCACGTCCACCGATTTCCTCTTACGGGGCATCAGGTCCCCATCACCTCGCAACGACCCCTCTTCCTCGTCTATGAGACGATACAAGGGAGAAGCCAAAACTTCCGCTGCCGAAGTCTCCATAGATAAAGAAGGAGTTGATGCGGATGCAATAGCAGGCGTGACCGAGGAGTGACCAGAATCAACCGCGATCATAGAAGGGCCAGGAGTCGAAGAGGCGTCAACTTTCCTCTTACGGAACGCAGGTGTGGGAGCTCTCGACCTCCTCAAGGACCCCCTAGCTGAAACTAAGGGAAGCACAAAAGGATAAGAGAGTTAGCCAAGACAACCACAAAAGAGAATAACCAACAAGACAAAGACAAGAGTAACTTACAAGTCGAGTGGGGAGCCGGCCCAAAACTCTTGAAGAAGCCCGGCTACTTACGAATTCCCGTGATGTGAGGGAGGAGCTGACCGATCCCACCAGAAATGTCCTCGACCAAGGAGGAGGCGAGGTCTTGACTACATAAGAAAAGCACGACGGGTCAGAATCCACAGCTAAGCAAAATAAACCAAGTACCTACGTGCGAGGGAGTGAGGCGCTTACAAGTGCAATTCCAAGCTTCAGGGAAGCCGTCGACGTTGGCTACCACGTCCCCAGTTCTAACGAAGAAAAGGTTGAGCTAGAACTGGCGGTTAGCCTTATCATCCATCTTCACCACCAGGCATTTGCCTCCTCGGTGGCAGAGATTCAACATCGTCCCCCTATAAAAGCTGGGGTTGAACACGTGCATCAGATGTTGAAGAGTGATCTTGACCACGGCCAACTCAGCAAACTTGGTGAGCATCCTTATAAGCTTGTAAACGTATGGTGCGAGTTGAGCCAGGAAAATATTGTAGAAGGGACAGAATTCCTCCGCCAACAGAAGGAGAGAAAAAGTGTGGCCGATGTGAGAGGGGTAGGCGTGGAATGCGCAATACCCAGGACGGTAGTGCTGCACCGAAACCCATCCGGTAGGGATCAATTCGACGCGGTCGGGAAGGCCGTACTTCTTCTTAAGCTCTGACAAATCAGCCTCCTTCATCGCCGATTTAAAGGTTACGGGTTCGGCTTTAGGCAGTTTCGAGAAATCAGACCTGACATCGGGATTGCGAGGAACTATCACTTCCATAGTCGGGAAGCCTCCTTTCTCTATGGCAATGGGAACGTTCTCCACATAAGGAGGAAGAAGAATTGCCAGAGGGACCGGGTCATTTCCCTCGCTGGGCTCAGAAGGTACGTTAGACATATTTTCAACAAAAGAAAGGAAGGTATTAAATAATGAAGAATTAAAAATGATAGGGATCGTTGGAATAGAAAGAAAAGATGCATAACAATGGAGGAGGAGGAAGAAGGTACAGAGTTTGGTGCAAGGATTTCGTAAAGGTTGAAATTATACCCACACACCCAGATTTATAGAAATTCAAGCATCGAAACCGAGAAATTGATTCATCATTACCTGGCACCGTAATCGAAGCGGTAGATTCAATCAAAAGACGCATGCGAAACGAAGCAACGCATCAGAAAAATGCATCATAATGACGCATGACATCATGACGTCACCCTAATTCATGGATCGCACAACTCCATAGTTTGCGGTTCACAAAGGGCCACGCTATCAGCTCGCCCCAATCATCACGACCCACTCAGCTCGTACAATCATTTTGATCGCAGTAAACAGAACCTCAATAAGCCGAGGGACTAACTATATGAGTCAAAATCTGCCCTAGAATATTGAAGATAAGATAACACTAAAGAAAGAGTCCTCGAGTCATCGTCAGTCGAGATCGACTAGGAAGCAGTGAGATTCGCGATCAAGATGTCAACAATGGTCAAGGTCGAGCACCGTTGATGAAGCTGTAACGGCAAGTTTTCGAAATAAGATATTAAAGAGAATATTCTAGTGGATATTCTCTACACTTGTACTATTAAGATTTATTAGGAAAATGTCTCATATAAATAGAAAAAGAGACAATGATATGGGGCATATGATATTCATTTGATAAGAATAGACTTTTGACAAAAGATTCTCTCTTTCCATCTTAGTAGGATACAAACACTACCTTTTCATCATGATTCTCGTTTATATTATTCTATACTTTTCCATTAGATCCGAGAAAATTCGGACATTCTAGGATTTGTTTGTCACTCATCATTGTCAGAGGAACAACCATCTAGTTTATTTTTTATTGGGTGAATCACTCCTCCTATTTACTTAAATGTCATTTATTATTATTTATTGCTATAAAGTGCTACATTATTGCTCATACTTTTTGGAATAGTTATTACACGCTGCTATTAATCTACCACCAGATCTGTTTGACATTAGTCACGTTTTCGAAACTCATATCTAGAAATATTATTATTAACTATGTTTAACCCATTATCATATAATTTAATTTTCTACTCATGAGGAGGTCAAATATTTTGCAGTACTATTAATGACAAAAATGAATTTTAGTATTAGGGACATTATCTCTCAGTTTTGAGTAAATGGAAAACAGGACATCAATATCAGAAATGTATTAAAACAATGCCAAAACATATATAAAATAGAAAGTATATTATCTTCGTATTCATAGGAAACATATGATGTTCCATTGCACATAACTAGTAGTAACATGCAAATAGAGCTGCGGGCTTACATGCTTACCCTATTTTTTTGGGTGCTTTTGCAGCCGCTTCAGCCTCCATTTAGCTTTTTCACTTTTACCATCACACCACTTCATAACAAAAAGTAAAAAACAAAAAAAAGACACTAAAGTGAAAAAAAACAATTCCCCATAAAGTTGATAAAGAAGGTAAAAAGAAGATACTACTTCCCCCTAGGACTTCAAAATTACCTAGTAAAAAAGAGAAACACTGAAGCCTAGGAAAAATCATAGGAATTTTTTTTTCTTTCAAAATTTATCGTATAACTTATTAGTAATTGTGCTCGTAAATAAATTTGGGTTTCGGGTCGGGTTAGTGAAAACTGGATCTAGACCCGGAAATTCTTGCCCACAAAGGTTTGTCCGAACTGCCAATTAGGTGGTGCCACGTTGTTAGAGGTGACACTGCGATGGTCACTAGCTTTAACCCTAATGGACAAGGCCTTGCCCACAAGAACAGCATTGGTTTGCCAATTTTGCCCCCAGTTTCGGCTCATTGCTATCCACTGTGTGTTTGTGCCCTTAATAAGAACCTTCTGGATGTCCCCTGCACCCGCCACGTTTGTCACCAATAGCAAATTGAAGTAACGGAACCCGTTTATTGTGAATCGGATCCCTCCTGCTTTTCTGCACGCTACTCTACAAATTTTAAAAAATAAAAAACAATTAGCAATAAGCATCAAAGGTATGATAAAATGATAATAAATGCGTAGTTATTATAAACTTTAAAAGAGAAATGTATAATTTTTACCACTCCAATAAATAATATATGATAAATTATATGTATATTATATGCAAAAAATACGTATTTTATATAATTTTTAACTCGCGAATGAATTAGTTTCAACCAACCGATCTGTTTTATATTTTGTCAAATTTTAAATTTACTCTTAGCCATAAATTTCGCATTCGAGTACCAAAAATAAATATTTTTAAGTACCCTTTTGATGGATCTACGTATATAAATGAATTGAATTATAATAACACCTAAGAGTATGGCCTAATAATCAATGAATGTGTTAAAAATTATAAGATCTCAAATTTAAATTTCAGAACATAAAAAAATATTAAGTAATTTTTTTTACCGGTTAGTGCTAGCTGATCTGAACACTAATTATTTTTAAAAAGTTGAATTACAACAGTTAGAACTATAAGCAAAGATATGGTAGCAATAAACACTAGGCTGACCGGTATTTCAGGTAAGATGGGGCCCAGTGAATAGATGCATGGATGGTGGGGCTAACAAGCGCGTGGGATAGTGTGAGCCATGTTTCGAATCCCTGAATTCGAAGCAAGGAACAAATCCCAATTTCCTTTGGTATACAGTTAGGAGTGAGACAATTCCCTTGTTACCCTCAAAATCACTTCAAAACTGCAACTTTAACATTCCCTTACTTACGCGATGTACGGAAACGCGTGTTTCTTTGTTGGTCCATATTTACCTCTTGGTAGGGGACCAAACCCTAATTCAATAATTATAGTGATAATAAAACTATCCTCAACATGTTAGAGAATTGGTGGCAAGTTAATGCAAACCTACAATTGTTGTTGTTGTTGTACTAAATGGAACCACACAAAATCTATGTGCAAATCCTTCAAAAATATCGTTGCACTTATGTCGAATCTTTCCTCCAAATATACCGTTACACTTATGTGAATCCTTTAAAAGTGTTGAAGGATCCGACACACCCGAAGAGTTTGAACAACATAGCATAAAATACAGTACTCCATCCATCAATTACCGTTTCTACGCTATTATTCTTTTATTAGTTCAATATAAGAACTAGCATAACTGTATATTTAAATGTAATATTTTTAATTTTATACTTAATAAGAAGTTTTTATAGCCATACAAATTCTCTATTATGTACTCATATTTAATGCCACAAATTTTAAAATTTATATTACACAAATTTAATATATTTAAGATCATAAATTTCAAAATTTAAATGAGTAACAGTAATTAAGAAGCTAATACAAACTTGTGGTACTAAAATTGGAATTATAACTTGAAATGGAACAATATTATGTTAGTTATAGTCCAACATACTCTCTAGGCTTAGCATTGAATTACAGTATGTTCAAAAATTGTGAAAAATAGTTGGCCATAAAATAAAATATTACTATTTTATGGATAAAATCTTATTTTCTGCCCATAAAATAAAATCTTATTATTCGCATTAATTCACCGTCCCACGACTTTCTCAACACATCAAATCTTTTCCCATAAGGATAAAAATTATCTTTTCCCATACCCGCTTTTGAAATGTCAAAAATACCCCTCATAAAAGAGGCAAGTAGTTTTTTGCAAGACATATTGGTGCAAACCACAAAAGCAGTTAGGCGAATCAAATCCAAAAAGGAGACGCATAACGTAAAGAGCATTAAAGTAGCAATAGAAAAAGTTTATCGGAAAACTCACCGGCGGTAACTGACGGGGACAATACCGGCACGGTACAGACCAATTTTGAGAAACATAGGCATAGCTAAGTCAAAATGAGGACGAGGTGGGTTACACCACCCACCGTCGTCGTTCGGCAAAGCGAAATTTGGTGGGCAAAAGTTTGTAGCCGTGACGAAAATCGACGGGTTACCGGGAAGGCACCATTTATCATCGTCAACACACTTAATTTCAAAGCAGGCTCCGCAACTTAGCCCATTGTTAAATAGTACTGTGCTCAGTGCTGCATTGTTCACTCCGTACCCTTGGCTGTACAGATTCCCATATCCACAAGCTCCACCTGTCCAAAAAAATCCAAAATTTGCCCGTAAATTTTAAAAAATTAAAATAATAATTCAGTGTCAATAGTGTGCAGAGAGAGGAGAATATATAGTAGATACCCATAGTGCCAGAAGCGTCGGAGCCACCGTAGAAGGTGGCATGGGCTCCTTGCCAGGGGCCGCCGGTGTAAACGCCGGGGATTTTTGCATTGACGGCGGTAAGAAAACAGAGAAGAGTAGTAGTAATGCAGAGTATCTTAGTTACAACCATTTTCTCACACACACTGCTCTTTAGTATATAGTGTTTCAGTGTGTGAACAAACAAAAGGGGAGAGAGAAGAGGGAAATGGAAAAGGAAAAGGGGTTTTGGAGGTGAATGAAGAGCGGGAGGGAAGTGAGGGGGTACTTATTGAGTGTGGAGGGTCTAAAGGCACAAGGGCAGGACCTGTAATTAATGTTCTGTTTTTTCTTTTCTTTTTTCTGGTTGGTAAATTTACATTATTGTTTTTACAAAATTCTTTTTATGAATGAAATTTTGTGTTACAAGTAGACATGTGAGTTGCACGTAATGGTAAAGAGACCTAGCTCTTGGCACATGGGAATGAAATAATGAAGTTCTAATGATTTATGCTTAAGTTTATGGCAAAAACTTGAAGATTGTATTGTATAACCTTGAGATTCTTGATTGTGTGGTTAGGAGAATCAAGATCGTCTTGGGATAAATAAGATTTCTTACGTGACACGATCCCGAATTAGTCTGGACCTCAATGCTGATATTAGACATCAGGTGCAAAATAAAAAAATAAAAACATAAGTCCTTAAATATTTCATTATTGTTTATTTGTTTCGTTTTATATGATATTGTTTTCGTAATGCCAAACAATTTTTTCTTTTATTACGTCGTCGTATATTCTATGAATTTTAATCAACGACGTTATGATTTACAATATTTTTTAGGGGTGTTTGATTTTACAACAAAAGTATGGATGCTTTGATTCTCGAATTTTGAATCTTATTATTATTTTTGGAATGGAGAAACAGGATGACAAATGAAAGGGTTCACTAAATTCTTATTGCCTTGCTTGACTATGTAATTTTGAGCAAGTTGCTTAGGATATTTTGCATATGATAATAAATTAGATGCCAACGCAACTAAACCAAGTACTAGCAACTTGCTATCGTATAATTAGATATCTTTACAATGCTACCATATCTTTTTTACCGCCACTCAATGGCATTAGTTGCTAAAGTAAAATCATTTTTGATTTGTTAAACGAATTGCGAGAGATTTACCTTCATATTTATAAATCATAATAAAATAATATGCACTATCATTTTAACATAATTTTTACAGTTAAAAATATTTAATTTAATATACAAACTTATTGTAAAGTATTTTTCGCCACTCTATTATAGGACTGAGGAATTGGGGAGAGTGCAAGACGTCAATTTGGATGCAAGTGGTGAACTCAGTCGTTAAAGTTTTAACTTCCTCACCAATCACAACCCCTTTGTTTACTCCTCTGGTTCAGTAACACATTTACTATTACCTGCTTCCTTTTCGCCGCCTCTTCATCTTTTTCTTATTCTTTCCCAAAAGTTGCATGCTATGATGAGGAGAAATTATTCTACAAATCAACCTAATTTAAATTCTACGAGCAGCATTACTCACATATTAAAGTCAACCCAACTTGTTTGACAGGAGAAATAATAATAATAATAATAATAATAATAATAATAATAATAATAATAATAATAATAATATCATTTTTGTGATAGTTAAGTAATAACAATTTACTGGAAAACACATGTTTGTTTACTCGTAGAACGGTACAGTTGAATTTGTTGTGCGGCTTATAGACAAGTGAAACTGATTTGATGCCAAAATGATAAATAAATTAAATAAAAATACAAGACTTAGCGTTAAAATCGAGATAAATAGCAGTTAGCCTGATTTCGGGAGCAAGGCTTCCGAAGGCAGCAATAAGAACAATGTTAGACAGAAAACAAAGTATTATTTAGCTTGAGAATAATATTTAGCATCAGATTGTTAGAGATTCTTCTTTCCTTGCAATGGTTGTTGAAGTCACTATTTATAGATATACCTAGAGAACAAGGTTCTAGGATCAAATCACTCTTAAATGATAATAATGGGGGTCATTGATAAATATGTAACAGCGGGCCATTAATGCCAAAATTCTCTGTAATGGCTGTATATTTAGGACCCGATTGGCCATAGATTTTGCCAAAATAAACTTGGGTTTTATTTGGCAAACACATGTTTGGCCATAGATTTTGCCTATATTTTGGCCAAGTCCCAAATCCTAAATCCCAAAACCAGCTCAATAGCTGGTTTTGGGCCAAAATATCACTATTATATTTTTAAAAATTGTCCCAAACTTTTATATTTTATAAAAGAGCCCACCATTTATTATTTTGTAACGATGTTGCTTCGTCTTCTAGGTCATCTGATAGTGTATCATATAGTTCATTATAAAAATGATAATTTTGTATCAAATTTATTTATATTCAGGACTATAGTTTGCGATAATATAATGAATGTTATTAATAATGGTACTATTGGGTATTTGTGATAGTTTTTAGAACTTGTGGGTATAAGTCATGTTTCATGTTTTTCCAAACCAAACTTCACCCAAAACAGATGTCCAAACACATTTTCATCTTCAAATCAAATTTCAACCAAATAAGATTTTTCAGAATAAATTTGGGAATCTATGGCCAAACGCTAGCTTAATATTGAGGAATATTCTTCATTAAATGTCATCTGGTGACAAATACTCGTTTGCTTCCGTTGACTAAGTTCCCTTCGGGATCTACTTTGTGCCAACTGAAGTTGTTGTCCTCGGTCTTGGTTTTCACTCGCTTTATCTTCTGTCTGCCTTCGGTTTCACGTGTCACACTATTATTCGAGCATTTAATATAAACTGATTTTACCCTATACAATATTATTATATAGTTTAGTGCAAACATTTAATATGATCACCGAGTCATATTCCCCGTTCAATTCCTAAATTGTCCTATCTCTTCATCATCACTGACGAGCTTTTGGGCAATTTGATATGACTAAACTTCAAAAACATCAAATTGTTTGTATTTTTTTGATAAAAAAATTACTTCTAATCGCTCGTCTCATAAATGAGCAAAAGACTTTCAGGTCGAATCCACCGTGAACATATATCTCTTTTGGTTCGTTCAAGTTTCAACGTTCCTTTTAATAATATTGACAATATAATATCAACTGACAAGCAAATTTAATTTGATTCCCCAACATTTTCAATTTATTACATACATGGCTATTCTTCTTGCTTCCTTTTTCTTTTCATTTTCTCTTAAATTGATGCTGCTTATATATACCTTGAAAATCATTATTGAAGAGTGATAGTATTAAACTATTAATTAATTGGACGTATCATAATCATACCTCAACTTTTTATGGATACCAATTTTAGGTAACCGAGGAGGTATATTAAGTCATGCATATATAACTGAAGCCATGTGAAATTGTTGATGCTTATGATGTTGCTATCGTAAAAGCACCACAAATGGATAGGAACAGACAATATTTCCTTTCGGTCTATGCAAGAAGATTTGAAAATGAATTATTACCCACGTATTTTCTATGAACGTTTTTTAAAAATTTGAAAAATCAAAAGACAAAAAGGAAGAAGAGGACAAAACTTAAGAAACTTCTCTTAGGATTGACTCTTCTAAGTTCTTGCATTTAGAAGATGTTTTCTTGTTGACCGAATTCAAACGGGTACTTGGACGTACAAAAAATTATACACTAATTAACTTAATTATCTCAACCCACGTAGGGGTATTATGGAATGGTAAAAATTTGTCCGTTAACTAGAGGGCTCGGGTTAGAGCTTTAGAAATGGAGTTTTCTTTGATAAAAAACGTTAAAACCCAACATAATTGGCTTTTTACGATGCAATTTTGAATTAGTCAGACTAGTAAATTTCAGACACCGAAGGGTTGAACAAAAAACTTAATTACCTAAATTCATTCAAAGATCGATTTGTAGTCATTCATGCAGTTTTTATGATCAATCTTATTTTCTAAGAATGTTACGGATGCAGGGGCGGATGCAGTTTGAAGGTATCGGGTTCATCTGAACCTAGTATTTTTGACGCGGAATATAAATTTCTGGTTAATATTTTACTAAATTTACAATAATTAGTAGATTTGAACTCATAACTTTAAAAATATAATGAATCAAAGTAATACTAAAAATCTTAAAAGTTGAATCCCTAGAATTTAACCGAGACATTTGGTTATGATTTTTAGTGGTGACCTAAGTTGAAAATAGTCTAATCTCTGGAACTTACGCGTGAAGATCCCAAAAAGTCGTTATAATTAAAAAGTTACACGGCGTTCAAAACTAAAATATCACTATATTAGGTTTTATCGTTCGAAAATATAATAAATAAAGGTCTAATGAACAATATATATATATATATATNGTTGTGTGCGTGCTAGGAGTGTACAAATCGAACCGGAAATCCGCACTAACCCGAAAAGTCAAACCAAACCGATTAAGTTTGATTTGATTTGGTTTGGTATTGAGTAAAAAAAACCGAACTAAACCGACATATAAATATATATTTTTTATATATACTTTTAAGATTTTTTATAGAATTTTCTTTAAAAAATATCTAGAACTATTTGCGATTCTCTTATGGGATATAATATTTAGTTAAATATGAAGTGCTCTTTGTTCTTCCATATTCATATATCAAGATCTATTAAATTCTTATTTCTTTTTCGAATTTGAAGTGGAATTTTCGATAATTTTTTTAAAAAAATAGAGCATATCATTATTTAGGTATCATATTAATTTTTATGTTTAATTACTAAATTCGGTTAACCTTGAAAGTGTACATCAACAAAAAATTATTGTTAGACGACTAAAAAATAACTATCATGTGTTATTAAGAAAATTCTCACATAACAATATTTTAATAGATCATATGTTTGTAAAATTTTTTAATTTTTACTAAATATATATTTACTCATAAAAAATTTGACAAAGTAAGATTGAAATAATATTCATTTAATTTTAAAACCTGAAAACCCCAAAAATCCGACAAAATCGAACCAATCCAAATTAATATAATTGATTTGGTTTGATTTTGATAAAAACCGAGTCAATCCGGTCCATTTACAGCCCTAGTGCGTGCATATGGTATAGAAGGACCCGGAATATAGTAGAAGAGGAAGGGCCAAAACTACATGTGAATCGAATAATTCATGTAGTTAGCTTCTATTTCTTCTACTTCTTTTTCAAACTATGCTGCTACATCTGCAAAACCCAACCTCCCATGTGCCTTCACTTATTGCCGTCTTTTCCTCTTTTTTTTT